AAGGTTTGTGGGGTGTGTCATCAGCTCACGGGCCTTCTTCTGATTGGTTGGTGGTGAGGTCATTGGGAGCAGGCCTTCTTCTGATTGGTTGGTGGTGAGGTCATTGGGCGTTTACCTTGTGGTTCCATCTTGTGTTTCCAATTTGTCTGGGGTCTACGGGCTTGTGGACAGCGGGCAGTTAACTTCTTCCACCTGGTGGAGATTTCAGTATCTGTAAAATAGCTCAAAGGACCCAGCTCAAAATATTATCTATAGCCCCTGAAGAGGAATTAAAGGCCCTAGACTTTGTTTAATGACTAAACTATTATTTTGTCTCGCTTGACTGTTTTTCTTTCTTCATTTTCTTACTTCCCTGATTTACTCTCTGGAACTTGGGGAAGACCTAGGAGACTAAGGGTTTTCTACAGACAAGAGGTGGACGGAGGACTCGAGAGTGGGGTGGGTGGTAATCTGTTCAGAGAAAGCCTCATAGGGTCCTGCTTGGTTATGTTATGGGGGCTGTGTGGTTTCTTTAATCATTCTCCTTCCATGTGTTTTCAGGTTGTTTCTAGCTTTTGCTCCCAGAAGCTTCCTTCTGGAAGTATTTGTGCCTAAAACAGGGGCTTTGGGAGTATAGAGACCTGGGTGAGAATCTCAGCTTTGCCATTTATTGTGTGAGCTTTCATATAGTCTCTGAGCTCTTCTAACTTCAGCGTCATCAGCTGCAAAATGGGGACTGAAGTGATGCGGTGAGGCTGGCAGGGGATGGTCCAGATCAAGTGGGAGAAGGGTCTGACATGTGTGGGTGCTCAAAAAACATCAGGGGCACCTGCGGGTTTGGAAGGCTCTGCTTTTCTTGGCAGGTTTCTTGCTGTTTGTGACTGGAGGCTAGGACTCTCCAGGGTCTGGGGAATGCAGATCCCGCCATGCCAACCCTTCAATACCTGCAGTCATGTACGGATGTGAGAGTTGAACCATAAAGAAGGCTGAATGCCGAAGAATTCATGCTTTGGAACTATGTCGCTGGAGAAGACTCTTGAGAGTCTCTTGGACAGCAAGGAGAGCAAACTGGTCAATTCTAAAGGATATCAACCCTTAATATTCATTGGAAAGACTGATGCTGAAACTGAAGCACCAGTACTTTGGCCACCTGATGCAAAGAGCCGACTCACTGGAAAAGACCCTGATGCTGGGAAAGATTGAAGGCAGGAGGAGAAGAGGGACGACAAAGGATGAGATGGTTGGATGGCGTCACTGACTTAAGGGACATGAGTGTGAGCCAGCTGCAGGAGATGGTGTAAAGGAAGCCTGGCATGCTGCAGTCCTTGGGGTTGCAAAGAGGTGAACACAACAGAGAGACTGAACAGCAGCAAAGATGTAGCCTCCTCTGGCGGGGGTGGGGGGGGCAGGGCCCCGGGCAGCCCCAGGGAGGAACTAGGCCTCTTGCCTCTGCTCTGTGAGTACAACCCTTCTGAGGCTCCCCATCCCCCGGTTCAGTCCCTGTGCCAGGCACCCATGCGGCAGATAAGCTCCTTCAGCTGCGGCAGCGGCTGCCACCTCCTGCGTCAGTGTCACTGGCACTTCTCCTTAAGGGCTGTCGTCGTTGATCTAGATTCATCTCAGTTCTCAGTGGCTGCAGCTGGCAAGTGCCGTGGAGCTGGTCTTGAACGGTCAGCCTCCTGTGATGAAAAGCTGACAACACACGGGGTCTGGTTGTCAGCCACGTGCATTCTGCAAACAGGAGGAACATTCATGGGATCACATCTGCCTCCGTGGGGCCAGCCCCCACATGCCAGCCAAGAGGTTTGACATGGTTGCTTTGCAGATCCTCTCCATTCTAGGGTCCAGGGGCCACTGGGGTCATCCCTGAGTCATTCTACTGCTTCTCTCTGGAGACTCCAAGGCCATCAGACACGTGTACCCCCGTGGCCTCCTTAATAGCCCAGAAACCCTTGGGTGTCCATGTGGTTTGGGGCTTGTCCATGTACTCAGAATTTTCTATGTCAGAGATGCCAATAGTGGCCCCCACACTGGTTTCCACCATTGGTTCATGGTGAAATGAGAAAAATAAGAACAGAGTGGTGAGTTTTCTTAATGCTGAGTATGGTCAATTTTGAGGACTGTTCTTAATACTCTGTGGTGGAGAGATCGCCTTTTTGGCATTAAAATGTCATTTTGAAAATGGTGGTCATTTCTTTTTTGACAATTGGAAGCATTTCCAGTGATATTTTAATTTCTGTGATTTTTCTGTTCAAGGACTTGGCCCATATGTCCATTGGGTGTTAATGCTTTTCATGTTGATTTGTAAAATAGCCTAGATTTTACAAACATCAACCTCTCTAAGGAAAATATTTGCAAAGGCTTCCCAACTTGTCGTATGTCACTTGATTTTATGGATCACACTTTTTGGTGTGTAGTTTGCATTTTTATGTATTCATATTCAATTCTTTTTGCAATTTAGATAAAGCTGTGAGAAATCTATTTTATATTTCAAATTTGTATGATTTTTCTCTCTTAAACTTCAATATTTTATTAGTTTCTCCCCTGTTTTTACATCCATATTTGGACAGATTAGAAAATAGGCAATCCTTTGTGGAGTCCCAAACTTTAGAATTGTCCTTATCTGTTACATCCTGAATATATACAGTCCTGAATATTCATTGAAAGGACTGATGCTGACGCTCCAATACTTTGGCCACCTAATGTGAAGAACTGACTCATTGGAAAATACTCTGATGCTGGGAAAGATTGAAGGCAGGAGGAGAAGGAGAAGACAGAGGATGAGGTGGTTGGATGGCATCACCGACTCAATGGACTTGAGTTTGAGTAAGCTCCGAGAGTAGGTGATGGAAGGGAAGCCTGGCATGCTGCAGTCCATAAGGTTGCAAAGAGTCAAGAGTCAGACACGACTGAGTGACTGAACTGAACTGTTACATCCTGAGGCCTGGCGACACTGTTCCAGGTGGCCTCTCCCGCTCCCTTGCCCACTCCTGGGTACCACTGGTTTCAATGTAACAGGCTCTTTAGCCCAGCCTCACACCTCATTCACGCTTGATGTCACCAACACAGCTGGAGGTGTTGTCATCTGAGATCGATTAAAAAAAAATAACAAAATCTGATATATTTTCTGATCATTTCCTGATTTCTCTAAAATGTTGGATTCGCCTTTTCTCACCTTCCATCCCAGCGTCTTTCCTGGTTGACTTGTTGGCACAAAACTCTGTCAGCTCGCAGTTTCAGCGTCATCTTCTGAAACTGCTACTGCAGCTCACACCTCTCAGTAGGCACCAGTTCAGTGTTTTCTGATTCTGACAACGGCTACTGCTACATCTTACTCAGAGCGATCCACGTGGGAAATAAAGATGGGGGTGACCCTGTTCCCTTGCATTTATAGTCATAACAAGCAGTGTCTCCTGTGTCACCCACTGTCACCTCGCTATGACACACCCATTTGCACTTGTGCGTAAAATTGCTGACTTAATTTTGGAGCATTCATTGTTTTCTGAGGGAATTAGGGGTCTCAAACTGGGTCAGGAATGAAGAGGGTGGCTGTGGCAGAAGCTTCAGGTACCCTGTGTTGCGGAGCAAGCCCTGGGCATTTGGCGCAGCCTGCTTTTCCTCTGGCTGTGATGTGAGACCTGGGGGACGTTGCCACTTGCACGTGCCGAGTCTTTCTGAATCTGGAAAGCGAATAGGTGGCCTCTACTGGGATGCCCGTGCAAACCATCGAGGCACAGGATGAAGATATTAGACCTTGTATTCTTACCTTATCTTTAAAAATAATCCATCTGGATAGAGATTGACGTCTTGTGCCAGGCACTCATGCTCCACCTACGGTTCATGAGTCTGAAGCCCTGTACCAGTCCCCCTGGATGGCGTGTCCTGTATGGTGCTGAGGGAAGGAGGAGCTTCATTATGCGAAAGTGTTGGCTTTCAGCCCAATGCGGCATTTTTCCCTTTCCCCAGGCCCCACTAAAATGTATTGTCTAGTTTGAACCAAACTAACCCTTAACGAGGATGAGTGACTAAGATTTCTTGAAGAAATGCATGGATGAGTGAGAAGTGATTTTGCAAAGACAGAAAAACAGCAAGAAAAACAGTATAATCAACCTTTCTTCTGTGCCTAGAACAATCTCTCCATCACTCTCATTATGAACGAAAAACAATGAAAGACCTAATTGGATCACAGAAGAACTTGACATAAACTGCCCAGTTCTCTAGGCTTTAAAAATATATAGACTTGCTTCCTCTTGTTAACAATGTGCTTTGTGTGGTGTGTCTCCATCCAAGCATTCACCAGCCCCAACCCTGCTTGGCTTCTGAGATGAGACAGGGGATGTTCAGAGTGGGTGGCATAGCCAAAAACCAAGTGATGTGTCCATTGTGCCATTGGGAGCACAACTCAGATGACCATTAAACTCTGATGACCATTAAAAGCAAGCATGAAGTGGCACTTCAAACGTTTGGTATTTGAGAGATTCACATGGATGTATGTCAAAGCATACCACCAAACCTGTTTTCAAAATGGCGTGACTTCTACCACATTGCTCTCACTAAAAATATGGATATCATTTTAAGGAGAGCAGACATTTTGCATAATTAATGAATAAATTTAAATACATTGGGAACATTTAAAATTTTTCATGGCATCCTTTCAAAAAGCATTTAACATTTGCTTTACAAGAAATATATTTATACAGAGACACATACGTTATAATTTATATACCAAGAAATACCTGTTTGGAGGGTGTGACCCAGGATTTTTATTGATAAGAGATATCCCATCAAAGAAGGGTAAAGATGTGAATCTGACAATTATGGACGAATCTTCCGGCTATGATGTTTCCCTTTCGGTCTCTTTCAGAAGCCAGGTCACAATTACAGGAAGAAACATTTGTAGAGGGTGTACCAGGATCTGACATCTAACTTAAATTTTTAAAAGATCGATCAAAAATTTGTTGAGACCAACAAATGGCTTCTACCTTTTTATCACTGTGGAACATTAGCAGAAGGATACAGTCTTTGCTATTTCAAATGTCGTTTATTGCTGCACTGCTTAGAGATGCTATATACTTTTGGGGAGCAGACAAGTGAATCATTAAATGAAAATTTACTGCTTACATTTTCTAGAAAAGATATTACAATGCATAATACATATTACATATTATTACATAAAGCATATTACACCCACCCTGTAGATATCTGGATAATACAATGCATCTTCAATGACCTCTATTTTTTAAAAGTCTTGAAATTCATAATACTATCAAATCAAGTTGAGTAAAAGTACAATTGCCATTTAGAAGTTTTCTAAACTAAAAATAAATGCGGAAAATTCAAAAATATCTGGAGAAGCGCAGTGCCCTGAGGCCCTCTTGGTCTTTTGCCATTTTGACGAGTGTGGTCATGAGAGAGTCAGGGACCCTGGGAGGGAACTCACTCTGTTTTGAGGGAGGGGGTCCAGGGACAATCTGGCCCTGAGGGAGGGAGGATGCGGTGAACTGCAGAGCCTGGGCAGCTCCTGGGGGTGGAACAGACTCTTGTCCTGAACTCCCTGTTTGTATCCATGGAAATGCGGGATTTGGGGATAAACGGAGGGAAGGAGGAGCAGAAGAGGGGATGAGGAGGAAAGGGTAGCACCCATGAGGGGCTTCTTGGAGGGAAGGAGCCAAGCCTTCTAAACCTGTGCCCAGGGACCGGGAGCAGTGTTCTCTGGGAGATGCTCCACTGGGTTATCAGACGCACGAGGGTCCACTTCCAGGAGCTTGACTTTAATCTGTTTCAGTGACGACTCTTCTCTGATCTGCAACCCCCTGTGGAGATGAGGAGGCGTCTATCAGTCTCCCGAGCTCCCAGAGGACCTTTGAGAGCTCTCAGCTCACTGGACAGCATCAGGCTTTGGAGAAGAAGAAATACTTCTCTGCTTTTCTTCAAGGTCTTGTAGTTACCCCTGCACCGCCCCCCCCCCCCCCCCCCAAGCCTCCTGCCCCGTAGATATCTGGAGCTTCATCTGCATGGCTTACCTCATCTCTTGCTTTGGGACAGTTCCCCCTTTGCTCCAAATCATCTGCTTTGACAGAATATTCCTAGAAGCTCCACTTCTTGACAAAGTTCAGTCACTTCAGGGACTCGCCTGAAAAATCTGGATCTGTACTGTCCACTGGGGCTTGCTCTCAGATCTCCGTCTTCTCCTTCTGCCCTGATATGAACTTTTCTTTCCATCTTGGGTGCTCAAATGCTCCCTTCCTTCCTCATATCAGTCCTTCTCTCCAGGCCCCAAGATCAGGAGCCTGGTGGTCCAGCCAGTTTCCACCTCCTGACCCCACATTATCACCTGTGTGTCTTCTCTCACAGAAGCTGCCACTTCTTCCTCCATCAAAGGACATTCCTGCAGGGACTGGTCAGCCTTCCACGGGTCCTAGAGGTCAGTATACAGGTCCCGAGTATTCCTTCAGTTGCCTGCAATAATTTCAAAGTGTTTTAGCTTCTTCTACTTGTGTTCCGATGGGTTTGGCTTCTTTGTTCAGAGTGTGGATCTTTGTTGAAGTGACAGACACCTGGTCTTCCTCTTGATCTGACCATCCAGGTTTTGCTAAAAAGCCTGCGGTGGGTGGAACCTCAAGGTTGGTGTGTCTAGACCTCCAGGGACCCCAGGCATTGGTCTTTCTCCATCACAGGGTGAAACTCCCACCGTCCCCTATATCGGGGAGGTCTTTGAACTCAGGACAGTGTGGTGAGCACGAGTCTATCCATAACCATCAGGCCTCACGCTGGTGTCCCTGGGTCCTCTGGGGGGCCTGGCAGGCAGTGGGCACGCAGTGCTCCCCATGTTTGTGGAATAAAAGCCCAAATAAGTGAAAGAGCCATCATTGGCAGTCTCTGAGGACTCACATACAGAGTTCTACTGTTTCAGGGGATGGTTCTGTTCCATGGGTTTTGAACTCCCCTGGGCCTAAAGCATCTGTGTAAAAATAATTAAAAACACTTAGCAAATGTTTGACATTGGGTGACCACAAACCATTAATCAGAATTCACCCTTTGAGTTACAAAGAAGAACTCAATGTTAGTTTGAAAAATAAAATTTTCTGATGGTCATTTTCTGTAATCACATTTCAGTAAATTTAGGAAACAAGTCACAAAAATCAAAAAGCAACTCTGGAAATGTCAAAACTCTTCTAAATAAACTTTGAATCGGGAAAAAAAAACCCACAAGAGCCCAAACTGGATACTGACAGTGGAAGCACTGTATAGATACCTGTGAAAGAGAGCCAGTGTTATACAAAGAGGAAAATTTATGCATTTCGTACTTAACTAAAGATGAGAGTGTGGTGATGAATTGGACAACTGAGCATCTAGCTAGAAAAGTTAGAAGTGGGGAGAAAAAGAAACACAAGGAAAGGAGAGCAGTGGAAATAATGTTGCAACAAAGTCTTTCAGAACTCAGAAAATCTGAAAACTCAATAAAGTAACTGAAGAGTGGATTGTAGGGTGGCTATTATTTCTTCTTTTAAACAGAGAAGGCAGAGATACAACAGTGAAAATGAAAAAGAATGGAAAACCAAATGCAAAGAGGAAAGTGACTTTTCGGAGCCTACCTTCCAGAAGGCTGTGCTGGTGGGGGAAGAGACGGGGAGCTGGTGGTGATGTTTTTTGAGGCTCCTGGGCAACTGCCCACCCCGACCTGTTCCCTCCGCCACCCCACGAGAACAGTGCAGTCCCTCCTGGGGTGGATGGGAGGTAAGACATTCCCATCTGGACCACCCTGTGGCTGGGATCCCCGGGTAGGCTGGGAGCAGCTGCGAGTCCCCTCAGATGCACCCTGTCCTGGGGGCTGGTGGCCATGGTTGGGCCTTTTTGTACTTTCCCTTGCCTCCATCTGCTACAAAAGATCATCTTTAAAAAGTGAGGCGACAGATTCTGGATCCAAAGTCTTTTACAGTTTGGATTCTTATGAAGATCGCGGGAAGTGCAGACCTCTTCCCTGGAACCCATGTGTGTACTTGTGGTACAGATGAACGAATGAGTGGCCCAAGGACAAAGCCATCATTTGATGACCTTGAGGATGACCTGTAACCCTTTGGGCTCTGTAGATGGTCTTCACCGTAGAGCTTAAAATCGCAGGGAAGAAGCCATAGCTCCGGGGAGGGTTCTGGGTCCTACAATGACGTTACGTTTTACAAGCCATTAATTCTCAAATTCAACATGTCCAAAACCAGCCTTCTTTTTCATTTATTTATTTTTTTAATTTGAAACCAAGTTTTATTTCAGAATATATTCAAGGTGAAGATTTTTTGAGTGATAGGATTTTATAATTTGGAGAATACACACACACACACACACACACACACACACACACACACACACAAATGCTCGGGCTCCCTTTGGGATGTTCTGGATTTTAATCTGGCAAATAAAACTCCATTCTGATAGGCAAAGTTGTCCACTATTTTGATCAACTCTGTTATAAAAACAAGAGTTCTTAATGACTCCCAAACCTGCTCCCTGCTCCCCCCAACTTCATCTAACTAAGTGGCCCAGCCATCCAGCTAGAGTTGCTCAAGGGAAACCCTTGGGATCTGTCTTCGGTTTCCTTCTCCCCCGACTCACATGCAATCTACCATAAAGTCTCATCGAGACTGCCTCTAAGGTATTTCCCAAACTGGCACTGTGTCTGTCTCCCACCCCGGTTTCCCGCCCCGAGCGCCATGGCCCACAGCCTCTTACTTGGTGTTCACGTGTCTGCTCCTTTCCTCTCTGGGTTTCTCCATGGACCACACGGAGTTATCTTTACCTGTGAATAGACCACATCACCCGCCACCTTCTAAGCGACATTCGTCTGGTTTGTGATAAAATCCAGACCCCTTTCCCTGGCCTTCAGTCTCCTGACTTATACACACAGCCTGGCCCCCTATAGCCCCGTCAGCGTCAGCCCTGACTTTCTCCCCTACACCCAGCCCGCCCTGGCCACAGTAGCCTTTGTCTCTTTTCTCCAAGTTTGTTCCTATCTTAGAGACTGGCCCTGGCTCCTTTTCCCCAAAATGCATGCCCCCAAATCTTGTAACTGAATCATTGAAATTTGCCTGGTTTCAGCTTAAAGGTCTTCTCTCTGAACCCAACTCAAGGAGCCGCACCCCCATTCCCTCTCTCTCACCTCCCTATGATATTTTCAATGTTAGGTACGGGGTGATCACAAAGTCCTTGTACTTTGCCACAGATCTATGGCAGTGGCCAGGAATGGCCAGTGGCCAGTCCTATTCCTCCTGAGTCTGGAACTCAGTCACCAAGGATTTGGGTTAATTTCCTTTCTTATCAGGTGCACTATGAAGCTTTTCCCCTGTCACTCTGGGAACATGCTGTTCCCAGATGCTGGGAACGCTTTTCTCCTGTCTGAGGTGCCTTCCTGGCCTCCCTGGTGATCACAGCAACACCCTTGCCCGCCCATCGGCGTTTCTCCTTCTGGTGCTAACACCTTGCTTCCTGGTGATCACCTCCCCCCTGACGTCTCTCCCCTGGGGCTGGTCCCCTTGCTTCTCATGCTGCTTTAGCCCACTGATCCCTAAGGGGATTGGGGCCAGGAGGAGGACGGCCTGCTCCAGACAAGAGCATTGGGGCTGTGGTCTCTTGCAGTCCCCTCCGCCGCAGGGCAAAGTCCCAGGGAGACGGGCCCCTTTCCTCCAAAGTCGTCCACTTTTAGTCTGTTTGAAAAATCTGGTCTCAGTTCCCTCCAGATGTTTCTGGTGATCAGTAGGTGTTGAGTGGAAGTCATGGTCAGAGGGGAAATTCAGAGATCAGTTCTCCCTCGATGGGAAGGGACTGGCATGCAGGTCACACCAACAGCACCATGTTGATGGAAGGAACTAGGCTGCTATAATCGGGGCAGACTGTGGACGCTGCTGGAATTCCTGGGGCAAGAGTGAATCCTGGGGCAAGAGTGAAGTGGGGAGACACAGGAGGCGCAGCGGTGGGCTGGCCTGCTTCAAAGGTGAGGGTGAGGGGGCTCCACAGGGTGGCCGAAAGTGTGCAGAAGCTGCCCACATATGCTCCCTGAGGTGGTCCCGGCTATGGCCCTGCCTCTGGCTGTGACCGTGGGGGAAAAAAGAGTGGGGAACACATGGTCCTCAAGGGCACGGTCCTGGGGCTCCCCTGGCTCCCTTGGGGGGAGGTCAGGAGTTGAGGGAGGGGGCTTTTGTACCATATAAGTTAATGATGATTGAATGAGAGACTCGGAGTAGAGCAGGGCAGGGATTTGGGGGGCTGCGGGCTGGAGGGAACCTCTGGGCTGGGCTAGACCTCCCAGTTCTGCTTTTATAACCTGACAGGGAGTGGACTTGATAAATCAGAGTTATGTGCATCCACGTGTGTCCTCACTGTCACCGTTGCTGAATCAAAGCCAGACAAGCACAGACAGAAGGAAACCCTCTGCCTCTGGTCTTGGGGCCATCCAGGCAGCATCAGACCCAGGGAGCGGGGGAGCCATGCCGAGGCCCTGCCACAGCCTGCTGGCTTTCTTGTTAGTCACCAGAGGCAGGTACCTTTACTTTGCTGATTTAAGTTGCAGACACAACACTCTATCGACTCATGCCAATCAGCTGAGTTAATGTTTGTGAAGTGCTTAGAACAGTGCTTGGCACTGTTAGCTGTTCCGGCTATTGTTATCATCATAGCAGCTGCAAGTGTTTCAGCCACTAATTTCTGATAACCCGAGTAAACCAGGGTTACTCGAGGGCAACAGGGAACCCATGGGTTCCATTGGCTCATTGGATGAGCTTCACAGGCGGGGAGGAGGAAGTCACCCAACAGCTGGTCCACATGGCTGTTTGTTTGGACCTAACTCTCTGGCTTCCGTTTTTCCAGTGGTCATCTATGGATATGAGAGTTGGACTATAAAGAAAGCTAAGCAGCAAAGAATTGATGCTTTTGAACTGTGTTGCGGGAGAAGACTCTTGAGAGTCCCTTGCACTGCGAGGAGATCCAACCAGTCCATCCTAAAGGAAATCAGTCCTGAATATTCATTGGAAGGACTGATGCTGATGCTGAAACTCCAATACTTTGGCCACCTGTTGTGAAGAAGCGAACTGTTGGAAAAGACCCTGATGTTAGGAAAGATTGAAGACAGGAAAAAGGCAGACAGAGGATGAGATGGTTGGATGGCATCACTGACTCAGTGGATATGTGTTTGAGTAAGCTCCGGGAGTTGGTGATAAGACAGGGAAAGCTGGCGTGCTGCAGTCTATGGGGTCGCAGAGTTCACGACTGAGCGACTGAACTGAACTGAATCTCCGGCACCGGCGCCTCATGTGGGTGAAGTGCTTGGCCAGCCCAGAGGCCCCCTTTAGCAACTGGCGTGTGCTGTAGGGTGTGTGCAGGCCACCCATCCACTGGTGGGACTTGTGATATGGGTGTTCCCTTCTGAGCTGTCTGCCTCCTGGCACCACCAAAGGGGGTGCCCGTATGATTCCACCTGAATTTAGAGACTTGGCTAATAAGCCTTCACTCTGGGCCTGTGTTCTGGCCCGGGACGCTGGGTGGGGCTGGGCCATCCTGGAATGCAGGGCACCCTCTTCCCTGCCCAGCTCACCAACTCAGGCACACACACACAGCCTACTGGGCTCATAGATGTTCACAAAGTCCAGGAGCGATTGTCTACCCCTGGACTATTGGCCAGAGGAGTGTGTGAGCAAGGCCCCTGGGGGTGAGACCCTCATGGCTAAGTTGTTTGCTCCTGAGTAAGGATTCACTCATCATGCACACAGCACCCTCGAGCCTTTGCTGTCTGCCCCCAGGCTGCCCCAAATTGTCCCACCTTGGCTGCTCTGGGGCCTCTGCCCTTCCTGATCGTTTCCTTCTCCTGTTCCTAGAACCATCCACCAGCCCTCCTCCCCAGCACCTCATTCCCCATCCTGAGCCCCTCGTCCCCCGCACAACCTCACTCTGGCCGCACGGTCTCGGCTGTCCGCTGTTCTGGGAAAACATCTTGGTTGAACTCTTGTGGGTCACCCATACCAGCCTGTGCAGGCAGCCCTCTGAGGGGTTCTGGGGGGCTGAGACCCCAGGCTGGAGACCAGCTAGGCTTCTTTAATTTAAGGGAGACCCGTCAGACTTGTGCTGGAAATAGAGTCACGGATGCATGTCAGACGGACTTCTTGTGCAGCCAGCAGTGACTGTTGGGAACGGCAGGCTCTCCCCTGGGCCTGGGGCAAGCACAGCGTGTGTTGCCCAGCAGCTGAAGCCTCTGTTGGGGGCTGTTGGTGAGCAGAGATGGGCTCTTCTCCCCCCGCTCCTCTTTTATTTGGTCCAGTGTGCTGGATACTGTTGACATACTACTTCCAAAATCAACCCACAACCACCTCGATCGTCTTCTTTGGTGGGAGAAGCAAGTGTGACTGTCTTTGATGGAATGAGCCATGGGGACCCTTTTCTGAACGATGGGGAGTCAGGTCCGGGACATCTGTGCTAATGAGCTTCCCCTGCCCTTTCTTGGCAAGATCTGCTGACCCACAGCAAATGTTCTGGAAAGCCCTGGTGGACCCAAGATGGAAAGAGGGTAAAGACACAGATGGGCATGTGGGGCTTGGGGGTGGGGGGTGGTGGTGAAGGAGTCACGGAGCATCTTACCCTGTGTCTGGACAAGAGAGCAAGGTCTCACTTGTGTTTTCCCAAATGGGTAGCTGGTATCAGAACACTGGAATGTTGTTCTCTTCTAAAAACAGATATCACATATTATCAGAGCTATTCTTTCCTTTATTATTTTCCTGGTTCTTTCTTGATTTGAAAATCCATTAGTTTTATTGGACGCATTGCATTTTGTTTGGAGGGGGCATATCTAGCATAGTGTTTGTTTTCTCTACACCCTTTCGTACCTTCTCCAAATCCCCCGGGCCGTTTGGTGCTTCTGAACCTTCACTTAAACGCTGTTCCCTGTGCCTGGGACCCCGTCTCCTCCATAGGGCTCCTCCCAAGCCCTGAGACCAAACTCCTACTCATCCTTCAAGACTCAACTGAGACAGCACTTTCTCTGGGGAGCCGTCCCTATCTCCTTCATCTCCACCCTTCAACCCCCTCCACCCTTCAACCCCCACCCCCCGCCAACCCCTAACCTTGGACTCTTGCCCACTGATCTTATGACACCTGTGCATGTATTTTCCCTGCTTCCCATCCGTATGTTAATTACAGTCGAAACTATTGTGTCTCTCTTCCCTTCTAGACAGTAAGTTTTTGGGAACAGTGCATGTCAGTCCTGGTCGTGTCCGCCTTGGTGACCACAAGCCCAGACACGTTCTGCTGCTGCTACTCTCACCCCACTCTGGCACTCGCCCCCTCAGCTGGCCTCGAGAAGAAATGACGTATGCTTGGGGGCACATCTACCACGAAGAAGGGCTCTTCTTTTTAAGCTGGCCAGTGGGTAGACCCACTCAGCAACTTTCCTTTCGTCATCTATACCCTTCTCCTGCCTGTCTGGGGAGTCCTCTGACGTTTTTGGTCTCAGGACACCTTTGTAATCCCAAAAGTCACTAAGGACGCCAAAGAGATTTTGTTTATGTGGAATATGTCTACTGATGGTTCCGGTGTTATGAAGGAAAGCTGAACTTTAAAAATATTTATATATACACTACCTTAAACATAACAATAATAAATCCGTTACACACTCAACACGAGTATTTTTGAAACAAACAAACAAAGGGGGAGGTAGTGTTATTTTATATCAGGGTTTCTAAACCGTGGCAATAATGAAATCTTGGCCCAGGATATTCTTGGTGATGTGTGTTGGGGTGGGGAGGGGCAGAGGGAGCTTTCTGTGCCTACTTGTAGAACTTTGAGCAAAATCCCTAGTGTTCATGCCCAGTAGGTGTTAGGGGCAGCTAGGGCCACCCACCACTGCCTCTCAGCTATGACAACTAATGTCCCCTGGAGTGGGGCAGGGGACAGTCTCATCCTGATTGAGAACCACTGTTTTACATCTGCAAATCTTTTAAATGTCTTCATTTACAGAAGACAACTGAATCCTTCCACCTGCTTCTGCATTCAGTCTGCAGTGATTATGTTGTTTGGGTTGAAGTGCGTCTTGAACTTACAGCTGTCCACAGACACGTGGTTGGAGAAGGGAGATGCATTTTAATAGCTTTCAAAATAACTGTGTGTAGTCTTCTTTGGTGCTACCCCAAAACCCAATGTGTGGCGGTTTCTTCAAGCTTAGTTGTAATGTGGAGTCTGCTGTGTTCATGAACTTCTTCTACTCTGTTACATCCAAATACATCCGTTTATCTTAACCTTTGGATGGTTTCTTTCACGCATGCGAGATTTCCTTCATGCATGCAAGATTTTCGAAACATCACACATAACTTCTTTGGAAAAGTTTTGCACGGGTCTTATCAAGTTTGACGCATCTCACTGTAAAAGAAATTACATGTGTTCATATTCATCTTATTACAAAAGTTTTAAAATTCTGGGCAACTGTCAAGATCACAACAACAGATTCAAGTTATCCAAAATCTGTTTCCACCTGGAAAGATCCGATTTTGTCAAAAATCCAATTTTGGCCAAAAAACACTAAGAATTGTTCTCCTAGAAGTGACCGGCTCTCTGATGATTGAAAAAATGGCTACCAAATACCAGCGTTTACACAATTGGAGTACAGATGGTTCTTCCGAATGAAGATACTGTTCTGTGTTTAAAGCGGTTGCTGCAGCCCCCGACTCAACCCCCTCCCCCCATGGGCTCCTTCCCGACACCCCACCTCGCCCCAATGGACAGCCCGAGTGCTTTCTGGGTACCTCCCTCAGCAGCCCAAAGAATATCATAGAAAGTCTATCAGGAGTGGAGTGAAATTCACGTTTACTGCTTCATCTAGGGCATTCCTAAGGGAAACTGGCTTTTTCCCCCTCCACTCCCCATCTCCCTTCCCAGTCCCCTGTAACAACCACGACGACCAGCACTGCTTCGTTCAACTGGCCCTGAGACCCGTCTGATGCATCTGCTGCACACTCAACACAATCAGTGCAATATCGACACAGTGGCAAAGGCACATGGCACCTTCGATTAACGATGGAGCTAGTTCTGACCTTGCTGAGCCAGAAGGGGTTTGGGGACCCCAGTGGATGCCTTCTGGTCTCCACCAGCCTCGTCTCCCTCTGATGGTGAGGTAAGACCACTGCAGGTGTCTGTCTTGAGCAAACAGGAGCTGTTTACATGATGAGCTAGGGAAGGGCCCCAGGAGGTGGTCTGATCCAGCCCCTTTGCACTGCAGACTGGCAGACTGAGACCCAGCCAGGGGATAGACCCAAGGTCTCACAGCTGCTCATGGAGGAACTAGACCTAGAACCCAGGTCTTCTGATTCCCAGTCCAGTGCTCTTCCTCCTAGCTCTCACCCCTTAGTCCTTGAGCCCTCGTGGGGCCTCAACAGGCGTCCACCTGCAAGATGATGCTTGAGGGCACGTGGGGTGACTGTACATCATTATACTTACATAGAGAGCATGTGTCGGCAAGCTTCTTTTGGCCCAGCAGCACTGAGGGGGTTGGGGGAGGGGGCTGGCTGCTACTGTCTCCAGGTGCTGGGACCACCAGGTGGGCAGAGGTGCCAGGTGGCCCCCGTGTGTTCTGACAGTCAGGCACCCCTCCGAGCTGATTAGCCAGGGAACTCTGTGGTTCTTTGGCTTCACTGGGTCACATCACAGTGTGATTACTTTATAAGGACTCCCCACCTTGCACAGAGTTGAGCCTCTCCAGAGGCAGCAGCAGAAACAGCAACAAAGTAGCAGTAGCTGATGTGCAGTTTGGCCCCATGAGATTTCATCCAGATCTACTGCAGGTACTTTTAGTATTTATCAAAGAAGATAACCAGTGTAATGGATTCTTCAGGACGTGTGAAAAAGCAGGGTTTATGTGTACAGTTACCACGGAGGCTCAGACTGCCCTCGCCTGTTTCCTGGACAAACACCATGACATCATCATCATAGACCACAGAAATTCCTGACATCTGGATGCTGAGGCACTGTGCAGGTCTATCAGATCATCAAAACTCTCAGAAAACCAGTTATTATTGGTATAGTACGCAGGGTAGATAGAGAAGAGCCTATCTCTTGGATTGAGCCGTTGTGGGTGGCTGCGATGGCGCACAAGTGCGGCTGGGAGGAGCTACTCCATGTCCGACCAAGGTCAGGGGCGGCGGCTGGGAGGAGCTACCCCACACCCCAACAAAGCTAGTGGAGGTGATGGAATTCCAGTTGAGCTATTTCAAATCCTGAAAGATGATGCTGTGAAAGTGCTGCACTCTATATGCCAGCAAATATGGAAAACTCAGCAGTGGCCACAGGACTGGAAAAGGTCAGTTTTCATTCCAATCCCAAAGAAAGGCAATGCTGAAGAATGCTCAAACTACCACACAATTGCAGTCATCTCACACGCTAGTAAAGTAATGCTCAAAATTCTCCAAGCCAGTCTTCAGCAATATACGAACCATGAACTTCCAGATGTTCAAGCTGGTTTTAGAAAAGGCAGAGAAACCAGAGATCAAATTGCCAACATCTGCTAGATCATTGAAAAAGCAACAGAGTTCCAGAAAAACATCTATTTCTGCTTTATTGACTATGCCAAAGCCTTTGACTGTGTGGATCACAATAAACTGTGGAAAATTCTGAAAGAGATGGGAATACCAGACCACCTGACCTGCCTCTTGAGAAACCTGTATGCAGGTCAGGAAGCAACAGTTAGAACTGGACATGGAACAACAGACTGGTTCCAAATAGGAAAAGGAGTACGTCAAGGCTGTATATTGTCACCCTGCTTATTTAACTTATATGCAGAGTACATCATGAGAAATGCTGGGCTGGAAGAAGCACAAGCTGGAATCAAGATTGCCGGGAGAAATATCAATAACCTCAGATATGCAGATGACACCACCCTTATGGCAGAAAGTGAAGAAGAACTAAAGAGCCTCTTGATGAAAGTGAAAGAGGAGAGTGAAAAAGTTGGCTTAAAGCTCAACATTCAGAAAACTAAGATCATGGCATCTGGTCCCATCACTTCATGGGAAATAGATGGGGAAACAGTGGAAACAGTGTCAGACTTTATTTTTTTGGGCTCCAAAATCACTGCAGATGGTGATTGCAGCCATGAAATTAAAAGACGCTTACTCCTTGGAAGGAAAGTTATGACCAACCTAGATAGCATATTAAAAAGCAGAGACATTACTTTGCCAACAAAGGTCCGTCTAGTCAAGGCTATGGTTTTTCCAGTGGTCATGTATGGATGTGAGAGTTGGACTATAGAGAAAGCTAAGCATAGAAGAATTAATGCTTTTGAACTGTGGTGTTGGAGAAGACTCTTAAGAGTCCCTTGGACTGCAAGGAGATCCAACCAATCCATCCTAAAGGAGATCAGTCATGGGTGTTCATTGGAAAGACTGATGCTGAAGCAGAAACTCCATTACTTTGGCCACCTGATTCAAAGAGTTGACTCATTGGAAAAGACCCTGATGCTGGGAAAGATTGAGGGCAGGAGGAGAAGGGGACAACAGAGGATGAGATGGTTGGATGGCATCACCGACTCAATGGACATGGGTTTGGGTGGACTCTGGGAGTTGGTGATGGACAGGGAGGCCTGGCATGCTGCGGTTCATGGGGTCGCAAAGAGTCGGATACGACTGAGCGACTGAACTGAACTGAACTGACCTTGCACTTTGACAAACTTAAAAGAAGCTTCTGGAAGGTTTTCCAGGGAGCTTCCATGTCCTCAGCCATCACTATGACTTCCTGTGCCTCGCAACAGTATTCCACAGGAAAACTGCAGCTGTTTTTCTCTGTCCCAGGGGGCAGGGTGGGGGGTGCGGGACACGGAAAACAGATGCGGCTTCTCCCCGTAAACAGGCTTCTGGCATGGAGTCACAGTTATTCATGACGGTGAGGGCAAGGACCTCTTCCTGGTGACCTGCAGTGTCCTTTAGAAAGGAAGTGCAGGGCCTGCTTTGGTGGGGGCTGAGCTGAGAAAAAGGGCCCCCCTTCCCCCTTGGTTTCACTTAAGCACTGCAGAAAGATAATTTACTGGCCAACTGCAGAGCACGGGAAAGTTTAGAAGTCTGACATAGAACTTGAAAATTATTTCCAGCCCTGTCTTCTGTGCCTTTTCCCCACCAGGGAGCTCTGAGAGCTAGTATCCCAAGTGATCTCCTTGGAAGCTGCCCCGGGCTGGAGTCCCCCTGTCCAGAGCCAGAGGCTGGGCTAGGTGGCCTCTCTGGTTCCTTCCTGTGGTTCTCACTGGCAGTGACCAAGGACCCACATCTGAGGATGTACCAGCAAGGGAGACTGTGTGGCCCAGAAGCCCCTTGTTTCACAGACCGCCCTGCCCCACCAGCCTCCCCTCCCGGGGCGCCCAGGTCCTGACTGCTCCAGGCCTCCTGGCGCTGGGTGGCTAACATCAGGCCCCTGCCATCAGGTCCCTAGGTAGCCTGGCACGTGGTACCCTGATGCTCTTATTCACGGAAGCCCCCTCCCTCAACCTGGCCTCCCAGCGGCAAGAGGGCCTTATGGCTTCTGGTAGAGCATGGGCCTCAAGGCTGGGACTACACAGTCGCCTGGGTTTCTCGTGGAAAGTCTACGATGGGCTCTGTCAAGTATGAGCAGCAGTGATAGGCTCAGGTCACCTCGGGTAATGGGGGTGTATTGTAAGGATATATGGGGGGACAGCCAGGCCAGGCCATGGCCGGCTCTCAGCCGAGGGCAGCACCAGACAGTCGCAGCAGGTCCAGTCCCTGCCCTCATCCCCGCCTTGCTCCAAAGCGAGCTACCTGCTTCCGGCATCTCACTTGCCATCTGTCTCATGTCTCGCGGCCCCTGCCTGACCCAGGGGAGGCCCTGGCTTCTCTGTCCTTCTATCAGCATCTCCTTAAATTCTCTCCCAGTCCTTATGAGGTAGGGGTGGGGGGACACACTGGGCTCGGGGGGGGGGCCAGGGCCCCAGCGAGCATACCTCCTGGGCTGCTGGTTGGCCCCGAGGGGGCCGCCATGGGCTCAGGCACTAACCCCACATCCAGCATCTGTGGCCGGGGTGATTGGTGGTGTCACAGGGTACAAAGCATGGTGACCTGCAGGCGCGGGGTGGCCGATGGTTGCCCTCTTGAGATCTGGGCGTGTGCTTGAGGGGAGCCCGGGGGTGGGGGGAGATCAGAGAGCTGGGGAGAGCCTCAGGGTCACCCCCCCATGTTATCTGAGGTTCTCATATGTGCCTACAAAGGCCCTTCACAGACCATTCAAGGGTGGGGCTGCAAAGGACTGTGGGGGTGGCTAGAGCCTCAGCCTCCCATCTCTAGTCCATGTGCTGAGTCCCCTGGACCCCCACCCACATCAGTCCCTCCCCTACCTGGGCTGGGTGCCCAGTCACCCGCCAAGGCCTCCCCCACCCACCACCTCTCAGGGCCTTATATGGGGAAGCCAGGAGCGGCAGGAATCAGAGAACCTTGTGGCAGACAGCAAGGCTCCCTTTGGAGTCAGGATTACTCATTGCAGAGGGGGGCAGTATTTAAAGTTGGATGGGAAGTGAATCACCCATCCTGATGACAAGACCACATTATGTGAGTGCTCTTTAGAGGAGGGGGTGATGGGGGCTGGAGTGGAAGGGAAGGACCACGGAGGAAGTGGTTCCTGGCAGAGCATCCGGGGAGGGGCTGGGAACGGTGGCTCTCAGTCCCTCCCCAAACCCAGCCGTGATGATGCACCAGCTCGTCTTTGTGGGTTTTTTCAGGGGGAGGAAGGCTGCAGGTGGGGCAGGGGCCTCTGAGCCTGGGGGAGGGGGTACAGCACAAGGATTAGGACCCTCAGACAGGGCGAGGGGTGTTGGGGGAGCTGGGGGAGGGTGAGGTGCTGCCCTTACTTCTGCTTCTGAGCCCCTTGCTAAATTGAAATTGACCCCTCCCCTGTGAACAACGTGCCATACACTTAGGGTACTTCTGAGCATGCCAGGTGGGAACTGCCCACTGTGGGCTTTAGGGCAGCAGCTCCCACCTGGCAAGCAGGGATTCTTGCTCACTCCTATCTGAACCACCACCCCAGGTGACCAAGAGCAGGCAGTGAGGGGGGCCCGGGTCTTGGGCTCTGCCCTGGCTGAGGGCACCCCCGGCTGGTGGCCTCGACCTCCTACCCAGCTCCTGGTTGGCGGAGGCTGGGGCAGGAAAGGCGGTGGAGCTGAACCCGCTAAACTGAAGATGGCCGGCTAGGTCCTTCTGCCTCCCTCCTGCAAGCAGCCAGCCGCAGAGGGATGGAAGGCCATTCTGCAGATATGGGGACCTGGATGCCCAAGAGGTCAGGTGACGTGTCTCTGGCCTCCCCCCACCCCAGCAGGGACCTCAGAGGTGGAGACCTGGCTGCAGAAGGCTGTGAAACCAGCACGGATCTTGAGCCCTCAACACAGTCCCCGTTTTAGGTCCGGTTCTGTCTCTTGCTAGCTGTGTGACATAAAGTTCCTTAACTTCTCTGAGCCTGTTTCCTCATCTGTAAAATGAGGATAATAATTCCCACATGGCTGAGGAAAAGTGGGGCTTGAGCAAGGACTGAACCCCAGAGCTGTGGACCTGTGCTCCTGGCCATGAACCACAAACGCCCCATAAAGGGCACCTGCCTCCTTTCTTGGAACCACAAGTCTCTGTGGCCACATCAGAATATATTATGGCAGTCTTGTGCAGCCCACCCCCTGGGAGGTGGCCACCTTGCACCCACCACAACCCAAGACTGCTGGGGTAATGGCTATGTCTAAATTGGGGGATGGAGCCATTAGGTGAAACATTCTCCATGCTCTTCTGGTTGACAGACTTCTTTCAGAAACTAACAAAAACCAGGGATCCCTCTCCCAAGTTAAAAAGAAAAAAAGCCCAATGCCAACACATCCATCCTATACCATTTTCTATAGCATTTCAGGGGAACTCCCAGAGTCTCCAAAGCCACTTGCAAAACTCTTTTGCCAGATGGAAAACCAGGACGCATGAGTGTAAATGTTGACACTGTGAGTGACTTGCTCTGTTAGCCAGGTGTTCTCTGGTCTTTCCCTTGTGAGAGGGCCAGGGCGGTGCTTCCGAATCCACCCAATGTGGAAGGAACACATACATCGAGGACTAGAGGTGGGTGGTGGGGAAGGTCCCCACCGCAGTTCCGGGGTTGAGTCGTCTGGGCCTGGAGGACACACTGCAGTGAAGATCAGTGAAGATCAGAGGGACTGAG